CCCTTGCATATATTATCCGGCAATTAAATACCTATTATCATCCTGGTTATTTTTCATTCTTTTATCACGTTATGCAGTATTTGACACTGAACTTTTATCAGAATTGTGTTTTCTTTGAAGTAGTGCCTATTCAGAACATTATTTTATCTGAAATGTAGTTTTAGGAGATGTATTATCACGGTCTTAATGATATCTATTGCCACGTGTCCCTTTTAAACAGACAGAGGAAACGCAGAGGAAAATATTGTTGCATATCGATAATGGTTCCACACTAACCTAACTCCTTACACCATTTAACCCAATGGTGCCGGGGAAAATGAACAAAAAATGGAGAAAATGCTGTGCCCACTTTCTATGTTTTTCGTGAAATGTCTGCCGATAGATGGCTCTGCTAGCGCCTGATTTGAAATGGCGGGAAAAACGTAAAACGTAAAATATTTCGTAAATCAAAGAAACGGGTAAACGGGCGAGACGGGCGGTGCTCGTGACTGGCTCATTGGTGATTTAGTACAAGTGTTGCCATCTATGCGTAAAAACAATCAAACAAGTACTCACGGTGGGCATAGCACGTACGTACACGTCATACCCGGCACCAAGGGGTTAAGTGTCCGAATACGGGCATATGCGGCGCCCCGTGGAATTACCCAGGTAAAGTCCCCTAGAACAATGAAGAAGTTGGATCTCGCATTCCCTCCTCCTTCTACTTCCTGTGCTGGTGACATCATAGCGATCCGAAACCTGGCGCCATGACTCATAGAAAACGAGAATGCGGGAACAAAGTCCTTGGCCGCCCCCCCCCCTACCCCACGCCCTTCCAGGAACGGTGTCGAACGTATCTGTTGTCAACCTCGGGGGTATTACTCATTCGTAGCGCCATTGTGGGTACTGTATGTAGATATTACTCTACCGTGGGATTGCTAGGTTTGTATATGAGTCTCGGTCTATTGGTTATAAGAGAAAGTAAATCTATGAATGGTATTGAATTGTGTCTACGAATCCACGGCATTTGTACAGGTGTGGTTCGTTATTTCAACTTTTAAAATTTGGGTCACGAAAAAGGGATGTTAATTCTACATCACTATTTAAGTTACATTGGTTGATAAACAGATAAATGTACATTTTTATTCTCAAAATATGCTTCTGTAAGAATAGGCAAACACTGATTGGATTAGTGCATGATGTCGAGTTGGCATCACCTCTCCGGGCGTGAGTTGCCAAGTCAGTATTTATTTGCTCAGAGGAACACCTGATATAATTGTAGCATTTGATTTGATCCTCAAGACATTTACTACTACATGTGACCTTTTTACTCTTAGTGATCAAACAGCATTTTTCACCGTAATTAAAGATACAGATATAAATTAAATGATCCCTGGAGGAATCTACTGAAATGCTAACAGATTATTGAGCTACAGAATAACCACATCGGTTATGCTAATAAAATGCAGGTTACGGAAATGAATCATTGATATATATTTGTCCTTTCCTTTTACTGGCGTTCCCTTCACGCCGCTCATACGAATATCTTTACGTCTCCCTATCATTTTTTTTCTTAATCTTTCTAGCAATCTTCCGTCCAGCCCCGCCTCCCTTTCCCTTCCCCCGCTCGTAAGAAATTGTTTCAGACCTATTATCAGCCGAAGAAAGTCCCATTGCTACGATTTCCAAGGCGACTGTTAGAATTTCACACAGGCCTTCGTAGATCGGCGGGTCCTTCACAATTCTACGCAATCAGACGTCACGGCCGCTGTGGCAGAGTGATGTATCTGTAATTTATTTGATAAATGTCACTTGATTTATTGCGTTTTCTATCCCCGAAGTCGTTTTAGTTAGATCTGGAGCTAGTAAAAGAGATGATATGATGATGAAAAGAATGAAAATAACTATGTTTATTGTTTTATTTTATTTTCGGTCTTAACCCAGCGAGCAGTTTAATTATATACGAAATCGCATTTGTGTAAAAGAAGAATCTAGATATCTTTAATCTTCGATCTTCCTTACAGCTCTAAGTGTGTTTCTCTCCTGTGGTGTCGCCCATTAGCCTTGGGTGGGCTTAAGGGCGCCAGTTATCGACCACATCCAAACTTCCCTTCATATCCTTTTACTCCAAAGTCTCTCCCTTGAGTGAGCAGTTAGATTATCTGCGTAACTTCATTTGTTGAACAAGAGAATTCGAATTTCTTTAGCGTTCGACCACATCCAAGCCCTTCTTATCATGTTCCTTTTCCTACACACAAGACTTTCCTCTAAGTGTCTCCCTCTCCTGCCGCGACGACCGTAAATCTCTCCAGCTGACGGTCTCCTGCAATCAAGGCTGGACGAGTAATCAAGAATCCGGCGCGAAGAAGAAAAAAAAAAGAAAAAAAAAAAGATAATGAGGGAAACTTATCCACTGAAAGCTCATGTTCCGGAGCCTCGAGGGGCGGTCGAGATCGGCCTTGCGTCCCCGCTGGCTTTTCCTCTGGATAAATTCGCCAGTGTCATCATCTTCGTTGACTTTCACGCTCTGGTCAGACGGTCTGCTTGTTGGAAGTGGTACGTGAGCATTGGGAAGAGATTTGCTTTGGTGTGTTTTGTTTCGTCGTGGTAGACAGTAGAGGAAGAAGAGACGCGGTGATATATATATATATATATATATATATATATATATATATATATATATATATATATATATATATACACACACACACACACACACACACACACACACACACACACACACATATATATATATATATATATATATATATATATATATATATATATATATATATATATATATATATATATATATATATATGCATATATATATATATATATATATATATATATATATATATATATATATATATATATATATAGTCATGAAAATGGCATGTTACAGGTTTTACTACGATCGTTTACCACGCTCGCTAAAGTCTAATTTCGTAGAAAATCACCAGCTTTTCTAAGAAATATTACGCTACTTAACATCGACCTGTTATCATCTCAGTAACAGAATGCTCACTATGCGAAAGCTTTTACGTCGGGTCATGAGATAGCGATACAACCGATGTTCCACAAGGCACATGTAGTGATTGACCTCGTCGATCTTTGGTCATCACTTCAGGAGGTAATAAGGTATAAGAAAATCTCCTCTCACCTCTAACTCTCCCACAGGCACGACTAAAAGAGGAATTGAAAACGCTAAAGGTAGCAACACTCACTTGGTGGAACAGTGCGTGTCGTTAATTTCTCCGTGTATTATCACTAAGGGGGCTGCGGAGGCGGCTTTGCAGCTTCGAGGCCTTCCCCATGCGAACATCGGCTATAGTATAACACGTCCCCCGGCTGACAACATCACCTCCAGGCCCCAGCAAATCCACCTTTATCTCGCGAGTGAGGAGGATGCCCGCGCACACCACACACACACACGATTACCAAATTTTTATTTTACCAAATAAATTATATTTGTATTGTTTTATCTCTTTCCTGTCCGAAGAGGACAAAGCACCTAAGCCCATTTATTTTATAATTTAAGATTTTTATATATATTCATGAAGATCGCGGTGGCTCATTTTAAGTATTTTATGGTTCGTTACCAAGTAAATTAATATCTTAAAATAGTTATTTTAATCCCATGTCATTTTATCAATTATTTTATTGCATAACCAGGATTTTAAGTATGTTGAGTCTTAAGATTTTTTTTATTGATTTTAAAGCACCATAAATAGCTCCTTTTCCCTCCTACGAAGAACAGCAAAGGGGGGGATTTTGCTGCTGGCCTGCTAAGCCGACAGCCTGAGGAACCCCGGAACGGGCTGCCCCTGTCCAGTTAAGAGTCCGCACTTTAAAGTTTTAAGTTCCGTTTTGTATTGCCATTCATTTTGCTGTGTTTTATTCGTGTTTGTTTTATCGTTCCATGTTTTGTTGTCTGTTTGTCTTTTAACTTTAACTGTAATAAACCTGTTTTACGTATGCTTGGTTTTATAAACGCCCAACTTCAAGTAAAGATGACGGTACAATTGCTGATGAGAACCATCTGCAGTGAATGGTGATAGTTTTCTTTATTTTAATCAAGGTGGCTATTTGCTTAATTACGTATACGCACACGCCTCTCCTCAGCTTGCATCACGCTTACCAACCTTCGTATTCTCGCACCAAACACACACACCACACACACATGCTACACTTACACTCTTTCGCTTCTTTCCACACAACTTGTCTTCTACACTATCATTCTTCTCCCATATACACGACGTTCCCATACGTTCATTAAATGGGTGGTGTCAGTGACTTCTATTTACATATCTTGCGAGAAATAATTGTATTTAGCTTTTGCTACACACAATACGAACGACTCACTGGCGTTCTCCGAAGATCCGTCCGCGTGAATCCGCGAACGTGCCCGCGGGGGATGTGACTCACTCGTACGAACATGTAAAGCGGCGCGGCGGTTCCAGGCGGACACAGTTGAGGTTCGACTACCGCTGCGTGAACATCGTGTGCCGGCGCTTGCTTGGCCCTTGTGTAAGTGGCCCATTCAGCGAGAGGCTTGTCACTTAACCCGTGGCGATTAGACGTGTCATTAGTGAGGAGTGCTGATGTGTTAATTGCTCTCGAGCCCCTAGTGGTGATTAGTGATATCGAGTGATGACCCGAACGGACGGACCTTTAACGACGTGTGGAATTGTGACCTGACATGGATATCGTGTGCTTTGGTGCGCAAAGTGGAGCGTTTGCGAGGATTGTGTCGCTGGAGACCTTCGTGGAGGGAAAGTCCTCTGCCTGCACGTAGGCCGAGGCATCTCAGGAATGCGACGCGAACTCACCGATAAAAGGAGAGGAAGAAAGAGAAGAGTAGAAATCCAAGGTTTTTTCAATTCTTCATGATTTACGATGATGTTTACATGATGTCTGGACTCACACCACTTGAGCGCCTTTCACACGACCCGGGCGTCTTTTCATCGCGAGGTCGGGCTGGGGAGGGGAAGAGGTGAGGGGGGAGGGAAGGGCCCCTATATTGCGCTCGGCTGAGTTAGGAGGCCGGTGGGGCGGGGGAGAGGGTGGACAGGGACGGGAGGGCGGAGGAGACGCCTAGGTGGAGGGAAGGGGAGGGTGGAGGCGCCAGGGCGGAGTGGAGCGAGTGACGCCGTGGACGCACTTCCCGCTCCCCCTCGGCAAAGTCCGCGGTGGAAATGCTTGCGGACTGAAGTTCTTCCGATCACCTTGAAGTTATGACACAGTCCTGTTGTGACACAAAAACAGGCCGCGCGGGTACTTGTTAGTGACACGCTTCTTAATTCTTATTAAACGCAGTCATTTAATACTCACTTTCTTGTCGCTTATTATCCAGTTAATGGTAATGTGCAAGCCGCGAGGCAGCCATTCAAGGATTTTTTGTGTAATAACAAAGGCGGGCGAGGAAGCAGATTGTATTTTTTCTCCTCCGGCAGTTCTTTGCTTGTTCATCGACCGAAAGGAAGAACAACAGAGCACCATGATGTATCAAGGATTGGAGGATTTTGCGCAAAACTCCCATTCACTCGATCGGCAACTTTGTACAACTTTAGCTAAAGAAATCCTTCGTTGTGCAATATATAATTTTCTTGTACAGAGAAATACTTTCTTGTGCACAGATGACCTTCCTTGTGCGAGAGTCCCTTGCACAGAGGAACCCTTCTCTGCGCACGAGCTCCTCGCTGACGCCACCTCGGCACAACGTAACCTCTCTCTCTCCTCTTTTTTCCAGCAGCCTCGCAAAATCCCTGCAGCACCGAGACGAGAGACGAGATAGATTGTCTCCGGAACCTCCGTTGAAGCCCCGAGGAATCGTGCGAGCGTCGTGAACATGACCTGCTGTACCCTGCGGTGTGTCATCAAGTGCGGCATCTTCCTGGCCGCCTTGGACATCGTAAGTGCGAGATAAGGGATGCTTGAGGGAGATATCTGTTTGGGTTCGTTAGTGGTTTGATCTGGAAGCCGTCCTTCTTTTGGAGATTGCCTTTATCTTTCGTGAAAAATAGGAGGATGTTTCGGTATTGATAGGTAAATTAATATCTTTATTTATTTTACACAAGGAATGTATAGCATTAGCACACACCTACTCTAAACCCCCACGTGAACAGTTCCTACACCTGTACCAACGATGGCATTCTTTTGCGAGGCAGCGAGGGAACCAATCACACCCTGCCGATAGGAGACATGAACAACACGCGTCTCTCATTGTTCATCACTCACGCCCTGTTCGGGACAGCCACCTGCACATAGCATCATCATCCCCCAATCCCTCCCTTACAGCTGTGGCGTCTTGCTCTCGCTACGGAGGGTAACCTTTGCCTCCACACCCTTTCAGCTGCTCACTGCGGTCACGATACTACTACCTCAGGTTCCCGTAACTGCCTCTTCTTCTCGTAAATCTCAGCTGTTTTTAAGTCTCTCTCTCTTCTGTTACCTTTCTCGTTTTCTGTTCTTTTTTCAGAGCGAAACATTCTTTAGCAAATGAATTATCTTTCCTGCCTCTTTTGCGCTTGCTAGGCCCTCCCTTTCTTCCCTCTTATCCTCCTCCTTTCTCTAAACACCTGCTTATCTTGCTCTTTCCATCCTTTATATTATATACACCTACTTTGCACATAAAACGAACTCCTCCAATCCCCTTTCCAAACACACAAACATTTCCTTCCCTTCACTAGGCCAATGCAACTACAGAATAATAGAAAAAAATCAGCAAATAAAACTTAAAGTTAGCCCAGCACAGTTGCACTTTCCAAACCACCCATGTAACCACACTTGGCAACCACCCTCACGCAGCCACAAGCCCCACTTCTAAACCACAAATACCAGATCTGAACCTTTTTATTTTTTCCCTCTTTCAGATCCACGCCGTCACGAGTTTTGGTTTCTATGGCTACCAGTACATTATCGAGATGTGGTACTTGTGCCCGATCGACCTCGCGGTGGAGAAATGCCACAATAAGATCTATATCTTCGAGCAGAGTGAGTGTGTTTGCTGCTGTTGAGGTTTAGTCAAGGCAACAGTGATTACTGTGGCGGTAATCACGGTCAAAGCAACAGGAAGGCTAATGGTGATGATACTAATAGCCGAGTGATGTGGTAACGAGAAGGGGGTAATTACGCTCCTCAACTGCAGTGCTTCTTGTGTACTGCACTGATGGGTAGCTTCACGGCTAGCCCACCCACGGTAGCGTCAAAGAACTATCTAAGCATGATAAAATAGGTGGCCACAATACGAATAAGGTTTTTGATATTGAATTAATTATGTCTAGAATCGCCAGTGAAAATAAACCCAACGGTGTAAATGAGTCGCATGGTGATCGTCGTCTTCTCTTCCTCCAGTGTTCGAGATGCGATGTTACATCGGCGTCGGGGAGGGCATCGCGGGCATCTTCTGCTGCGCCATCTATATCCTCGCGTTAGTCAAGGTAAGGGCGAAAAGGAGAGAGAGAGAGAGAGAGAGAGAGAGAGAGAGAGAGAGAGAGAGAGAGAGAGAGAAGGAGAGAGAGAGAGAGAGAGGAGAGAGAGAGAGAAGGAGAGAGAGAGAGAGAGAGAGAGAGAGAGAGAGAGAGAGAGAGAAGGAGAGAGATAGAGAAAGAAGGAGAGAGAGAGAGAGAGAGAGAGATGTAGAGAGAGAGAGGGATGTAGAAAGAGATAGGGATGGAGAGAGAGAGAGAGAGAGAGAGAGAGAGAGAGAGAGAGAGAGAGAGAGAGAGAGAGAGAGAGAGAGAGAGAGAGAGGGGAAGTGGAATGGGGGAAGGAATAAAGAGATAAGGAAGAGAGAGTAGCAGGAGAGAGTGAGGGAAAAAGGGGGATATAGTAATAGTGGAGAGATAGAGAGATGTAGGGGGAGGAGGGGGAAGGGAGGGAGAAGAGGCACCGTGATCTGTCATGCCGGGATGCTGAGGGATGGTCGGGGATAATCAGAGAGCCAGCATCCCTCCCGCTCGTTTCGCCCATGACATCTCTCCTCGGTGTGTTTCTTTGGCTCTCCTGCTGCTTGGCACTGGCACCGACGCCTCGGCGGTTACGTAAGGCGGTTTAAGGGACGGCGATTGTACATACCGGAATGCATGAAGAGGGAAAGGCAAGAGAGTTTTTGCAATAACTAAGGTGTAGTTTAGAGTAGAGAGGGAGAGGGGGGTGGGCGGTAGGGAAGAGGCGCCAGCGTGTGTGTGTGTATCAGTGTATGCATATCTTTATATTTAAGTATATGTACATATACACGTGTATGTGTCTGTATTAGGGCGTGGTGCGCGCGTGTGTACGTGTATCTAGCCGGAGGGAGGGGGGGGGGATGCACCCTTGACATGCAAGACTGGCAACTAGCGATCGTTAAAGGTCACGACGGAACGCCTCGCGAGTGCACGGGGAGGACGGAGGGCCTGCGAAAAGGTTAACTGTCCTCCGAAGACTAAGCCACGAGAAAGAAATCGGACGAAGATCTGTGACACAGCTGCTGGTGGGACAGTCCTGCATTCACGCGCGCCTTATGAAAGAGCCTTTAAAGGAAGCCTCCTTCACCTCAGAGGCGTGTCCCCGGTGAGGAACTGATGCCCCAGAAAACCGCCGCGATCTCCTCAAAAAAGCAAGAAACTCCGATCCAGGCTTATCTCCATTACCGCAGATGATACGAGTGCGACGCTAGAGACGTGATTTCGGCGCTTATTAAACTTAGTCACCAATGATTCCTTTATCATTATGTAAGAATTTGTACAAAACCGTAATACAAATAATAGTTTTGCAAAATTGACTGAAGTCCGGACGTTGTTATGGTAAAAAGATGAATAAATAAGGGACAGAGATCTTAATCTGAAGTCTAGGCTCCACCATCACATTCGCATGGTTTGCGGTAAAGGTGGTCTCTCTCGCCATTCCACAAATATAAACAAAACACCGAGCTGCTTCGAAAAGCGAGTCTCGGGCGTTGGGTTGGTTTCAAGTTTTAAAATGCGTTCAGGAGGAGGTACGTACTTGTAGACCTTTGGCCGCGTTTGCTAATGTAATTCTATCCCTGCGAGGAAGAACAGAAAATTAGGGTGCATCCGCGAGCACCCTTTCTCCTCGCCCTACACAGACCCTCCTTTTAAGGGCCTCCGCCGCCCGCGTGCAAGAAGGGTACACGCGCACTGGCCTTTTGCTTGTTGCTTTAACTGATAAAGACAAGTACTGCAGCCTCGCATATCAAAACTTATTAGAAGCAATATCAGTTTTATGTTTCAAGAGCGATTAGGAAGATTTCACTTGTGAAGTATGGACATAAGCTTTTACACACGGTTTCATTAGTATTTGATAAAATTAATGATAGAACATATAGACTTGGTTGCAATGAAGTAATTAAGGGTACAATATCCGAGTTTGGGCTCAAGTCATGCTTCGGGGAAATTGTCATGTTTCGACATCCGAAAATCAAATCGTAATTCCTTTAATCGATCATTGTGATTTTGCTGGCAGTTACCAGCAACGCAGATGAGACTTAAACAGTTATTTCTAACGCTGGTAATGGCTCTCCTAGAGGGTCCTTCAAGCACCGCAACTCTGAAGTGTCGAGGTCCTGACTGTGTGGCCCTTTCATCCTTAGGTCTTTCAAGGAGTGTTTTTTTATGTACCTTTTATCTCGGACTCGTGAGGACTCTCTAGAGCCTCTCTGCTGTCTTGTCCGCGTTTGTTGTGTCGAACGGCGAACGCGGGTCTTAATTGCGTCTTCATTCGGAGGGTGGGAGGTACCGCCGGTAGTGAGGTTATAATGGTCCTTCTTTTTTCACTGTTATCGGGGGAGTGTCGTGCGAGTTATGGCGAACGTTATCGGGGACGGTGATAACGCTAATGAGTGGCTTGGTCTTCTTGTTGGTGCGCACTCTCGCCACTTACGGCGCAGGTCTTGGGATATTTGTTTGCCTTGCCTTGCGTAAATAGAGTATGTTGCTGACAGTTTCTGTGTTGGATGTATGGTCATATAGCGGTGTGGAATTCATAGTGTTACAACATGTTAAGCCTATTAATGGTCTTTATTACCTTCTTTCATTAACATCCCTTGGTTAATTCGGTTATCAAATCCCTCAGGCTCTTGGAATCTCCGAAGATCATTTGTTTATTTGCTCTGTCTTTTCCTGCCCTGTAACCCCTCTCCCCTTACAGCGCAAGCCCTCCCTCACCTGGCTGTGGCTCATCAAGTCCTTCGCTGTCATCGGCGTCAACATCTACTACCTGAGCAACTGGGTCATCAGACAGGGCCGCTACGACCACCTGGAGTGGGAGAAGCAGACGTACGAGGACGAGTTCATCTGGGCAGCCGAAGGCCTCACCCTCGCGCAGATTCTCATCATGCTGTTCTACTGCCTCATCGGCGGCCTCTTCACCTACAAGGTAAGGGAGGACACCAGGCGCCGCCATCTTGGTCCTTGCCGGCGCCGATCGCTCATTGGTCCGCGGCCCGGCTTGTCCTTTGCTCATTGGTGCGTTTTCTTTGCGACCGTTGGTAGGTACGTGCTTTAAATGGAGTAAAACTCGGCGGTAATTTCACGGTCGTTATGATTGATTTTTAAAGAAGCGAATGGAAAACAACGCGAAATTTGCTGAAGCAGATCCAGAGTTACCATGATTAGCATAATCTTGGATAGTATCTTATGCAAAAACAGAAGGCAGTGAGAAAACGTGAATATAATTAACAAAGTCGGTTAAAGATGTTAGATTACTGAGAGCAACGGCCATGAGAGATGTTTCGTAATAGACGAGACCACAGGTTGCTTGTTCATTCCACCCGAACACACGGAAATGCCTCGATCAGGGTGCACCGTGTCAACGCAGCCGCCGATTGCTGTCAGGGGGACCATTAATGTCTTAAATGAGTGACTCGTGAGAGGCGGGATGGCATCACTACCTCACCTCACACACACACACACACACACACACACACACACACACACACACACACACTCACACACACACACACACACACACACACACACACACACACACACACGCACACACGCACACGCACACGCACACACAGACACACACACACACACACACACCACTCAACTCCCTCAAACCAAACTAAAAAAGGTTTTCTGGTTCGCCTGAGAGCAGATTCGCCATGGCTCTGAGAGCAGAATGTTTTTGTTCACTCCGTAGCACAACGCATTCTAGCCTTCCCTCATAATATGCTGTTATTTACAGATACAATTTTCATGTGTTATTCCCAGCATATTCTCCCTCGTTGAACTCCCTTTTGCTCCCGCGCGGTTGCAATTGCACGAGTCTTTGTGCTTTGCTGAGTTCTTTCACAAGCAAACAAGCACACGCTGAGCTCGCGCGAGGGAGGGCACCAAGCAGCGATACTTCTTAAACGAAGGTTCATTTGTCTGTTGATATCTTAGAGGTGATCGTCTTTAAGGTGAATATCAGGCATTTGGCTTCATTAAGACTAATGCTGTGCGGGTGTCTCCATTAAGGTTAATATCATGCAGATGTTCGTTAGGAATCCCCTCCCCTCCCCTCCCCTCCCTTCCCCTCCCCTGCCCCTCTTCCCCATTGGCTTCCCCTTCACTCCTTCTCCCCCTCCCCCTCCCTCGCCCTCCTCTCCGCCCCTCCCCTCGACAGCGTTTGAAACTCTTCTCTCCTTTCTTTTTCTTCGCCTTCCTTTTGTCAGAGTTTTGTCTCTGCTAACCTTCCTCTGTTTACTTCTCCCTCTTCTCCACCGCCTGCTGTCCCTCTTCCCCTCCCTCTCCCCCCCCCCCCCATCCCTGGTACCGCCATTTATGTCAATCATAAGCTCGTGACGTCATTGATCGCGGCTCCCAATCAGAGAAATACCGGGAATATACCAGTAAGGCGTGGCTCCCGGTTGCCGGCGTACTTGCATGTGCTAGATGCTTGTGCCAGCGTGGGCGTGGTAGGCAGGTGACACCGGAAGGTTCAAGAGAATGAAGAGAATTTACAAGAATTAATGTAGCACACCCCCCCCCCTTCCGTAGCATTCGTCCCGGACACAAAAACACGCACTCTTTCACAACATACCGAGTTGAATGATACACCAGACACTAATACAGAAAAGAGACTCGCCTTTTAATTACATAGATCCATAACTCACAAGAAGAAAGACAAAGATAATTACTGAAGAAAATGTTACATCATGACAGACCATCACTGTTAATTACGAATATCGCTTCCTGACCCTCGGTGATGATGACTGACTTCAGGCGAGGACTCAGCTGCTTCACTGCTTGTCGTTAGGAAGTGGCCTTTGTGGGCATTTTTTTTAACATGACAATTGATATTTAATAACTAGGATGATGATGATTGTTATTATTATTGTTCGTCTTCTTTTCTTCATCTTCTTCTTCTTATTATTATTATTATTATTATTATCATTATTATTATTATTATTATTATTATTATTATTATTATTATTATTATTATTATTAATTATATTATTAATGATTATAACGATGATGAAAAATGATAATAATGATTATAATAAGGATAATGATAATGATAATAATAATCATTATTGTTCGTGATGTTATTATTATTATTATTATTATTATTATTATTATTATTATCATTGTTATTATTATTATTATTATTATTATTATTATTATCATTATCATTATCATTATCATTATCATTATCATCATCATCATCATCATTATTATTATTGTAATTATTATTATTATTATCATTATCATTATTATTATTATTATTATTATTATTATTATTGTTATTATTATTATTAATATTATTACTATTATTATCATTATAATAATAATAATAATAATAATAATAATTATTATTATTATTATTATTATTATCATTATTATTATTATTATTATTATTATTATTATCATTATTATTATTATTATTATTATTAATATTATCATTATAATTATTATTATTATGATAATAATAATTATTATTATTACAAATATTATTATTAATGATGCTAATACTATAATCATTATTATTATTTTACATTATCATTATTATCTTGTTATTATTGTTTATATGATTACTGTGGTATACTGGAAGGATGACCATAGTGAGAATGATGATGATGACAGTCATGATAATATGAAATGGGAATAATTGTGTTATTGTACTGATTATAAGCTTGTAACTCGTATCATATTGACACTTCCCGTTCGTATTGTCGGCCTTTGGTTTTAACATTTTTGTTGGTAAGCATGATTACTATAGCTATAAGATAGCTATTAGTATTGTACTTTTTTATTGTTGTTGTTGCTGTTGTTGTCAATAATAATAATGAAAAATAATAAGGATGATTATATTAATAATAGTATTATTATTAATAATAATGATGATTATATTATCATTATTATTATTGTTATTTTTATTATTGATGTTATTTTCATTATTGTTATTATCAGTAATAGTAATAGTAATAGCAGTAGTAGTAATAGTAGTACTATTACTGTTACTCATTACTGTTACTACTGCTACCTCTACTACTACTGCTACTACTACCTTCATTACTTTTATTACTTCTACTGATATCACTATTTTTATTATTATCATCATCGTCATTATTTTCGAATGAAAATAGCTGTAATTGTTATTACTGTCACCACGTTGTTGTTTTCTTAGTATCATGTTCACATTTATTATTAAAAGTGGTAATAGTACTAATTTGGGTGCTAAGTAGTCATGATACTTATGATGATGATAATGATAAGGGTTGTAATAACAATGTATATGTGATAATGATAGTAGTAACAATAATGATGGTAATGGCGATGATAATAATAGAAATAACATTTATATTATTAGTTATTATTATTATTATTATTGTTGTTATTATCAACAATATTTTAACTACTCTTCGATAATCACTATGACGAGCCGTTGGAGCCTTCCTGCAGCGACCTGACCCCTGCCCTCCCTCCCCCAGGTGGTGGAGGAGAAGCGCGCCAGCCGGAGGAGCCTCCGGTCGCGCCGCAAGTGGAACTCGCACGACGCGACGGCGCCCCCGATGGGCTACGACGACGAGGAGGCGCAGTACCTGAACCAGGCCCTGACCAACAGCGAGAAGACCCTGCCCGTGCGCGCCTCCAAGCAGAGCCTGGCCGCCGCCTCGCAGCACAGCATGACGGAGCTGGACCGCCCCGACTCCTACAAGCACTCGACGGGGGTCTAGAGGCGCCAGCGGGCCTGAGGGCGGACGAGCCTTTTTTATTATATTTTGATACTTGTTCTCCCCGGATCTCTCCCTTACTTTCTTGCGTCGAGAGCTCGTTGATTTTTCCAATCCTTAAGGGAGGACTCTCCTGGTTTCCGCTCGTCGCCAGCTAGCTGATATTTGAATCAAATGTTTGATCTAGTCGGCGGAAATATTTTTTTCTTTTTTTATGTGTGAGTCATGGCTATTCTTTCCCTTGCATGCTTCGTGGCTTCTGACATCTGACTTAGGCTTCTTTGTTTCGTTCTCTTTTCATTTTATTTTAGCTCACGTTTTGGAAAATAAGAAGGAAAGGAGAGAAGAGAAAAAATGGTTGATCTTTGAAAACGGATCTCCTAGTCTTGAGGCGAACGTATGCTCTTGTCAGATTTAGAAATAAGAATATTTCGAAAGCGGAAGCGAACGACAAATGGCCGACTTTTCGTGCCGGGAAATAAATCTCAGTCATGGCTTCTCATTTTACTGAAGGAGTTTTCTTTTAAAAAGTTTATTGATTTCCAAAAAGTGTTGACACACAACTGTAGATTTAAGTGATGCGTCATTAGGAAGTTGACGCAGACGCACTTATCCGCTCCGAAGGATAATCATCTGAAAATGATGTAAAAAGGTACATTTTCATATTTCCCAGCGTGGTTATTTGGTTCCTCTGTTTTATTATTACTTTACTACTATTACTGTTATAATTTTCTATCATTGTCATTATTATTATTATTATTATTATTATTATTATTGTTATTATTATTATTATTATTATTATTATTGTCATCATTACTATTATTATTTCTACCACTATATTTTTCGCAAAAGGT